GTGAAAATTATCAGGTGATACTTAATAATATTTCCAAATTTGTTTCCTCTTAACCTACGTATTCCGAACCTGTAAACCTACCCTTACGCGGTCCGATCCCGAACTTTGATTCTTAGCCTCTCACCCATACTTAGAAACACTGATTGTAAAAAACCCGCCAACTATTCCCTCAAACGGTCTCTTCAAATAAATTTTAAACACTGTTACTACAAGCCTCGGGCTCTGTCACATAAACTACGTTCTCTGTGCAAAATATATTATATATTTCACAAATATTTTGCCATACTCTGTTCAACAAAATTAATATATAAAAAAACAAGTTAATGTATATATGATAGTGCAAAAATTGTGTTCCTAGCGCTAGCTACTGATGTAAGACCATATTTATGTAAGTTACCTTCATTTCTATATATGTGTATGTGTCTGTATTGCATATGTATGTATGTGTATGTATATGTATATATATATATGTTATGTGTATATGTATATATATATATATATATATATATATGTGTGTATGTATGTATATATGTATATGTGTATGTGTATGTATGTAGATATGTGTATATATACATATGTACATGTCCGTATGTATATGTTTAGATATACGTATTGTTCGTATGTATATATGCATATGTGTACGTGTTTTTACATGCATATCATATATACATGTTTGTTGTGTGTATTTTATGTATATATATTACCTTTTGTATGTTTATATATATTTTTTTTTACTTTTCATTTCTCTTGTTTATCTATCTGTTAAGTATAATTGTTATTGCTATAATTATTTACTTATATCTATAGTTCTCTTTTCCAATTTCTGTCATTTTTTCCTAGATTATATTAATTTTTCAATATTCATTCTGTAGATCCACTGATGATGACATAAAATACTATGTCGAAACGTTTGGAAAATTAAAGATTACTTCTAAATCTTTGCCTTTTATTTGATGTATGCCCTTGAAGAACTTACTCATATATAATATATAATATATATATATATATATATATATATATTAGGGTGGTCCTTAAAATGGTCATTTTCGAATTTCCTTGCTCCCAGGGGCTCAAATGGTTCCAAATAGATAAAAAACAATTCTCTGAAAGTTTTAGCTCTTAATATTAACGTTTAGATAGAGCGCAATTCAATCAAAGTTTGTATGGAAAGAGCATATATTATATATATTATATTACATTATATATATTACATTCGCATAAAGAAGGATTTTCCTATCCGTGTCTACAGGTAAAATTAACAATTGAACATTGAACGTATACATTCACATAATTGCGGATTTTCCTATCTGTGTCTGAAGGTACAATTAACAATTGATCATATCTCCAATTTTTACAATGAGCTGTTAAAAGATGATCATTGTACGGTACAATTTGTAGGTACAATTTGTACCTAATCTATTGTAAAAAGTACGTAATATGCAAATGCATCCAGTGCATCTGTGCACATACAACTATTATATGTAATAAAATAATAGTTAAATAATTCTAAAGATTTCTTAACACAATTATTTCTTATCCCTGTTGTTAGTTTCGAATATCATTTATACTAACTAACTAACGCGATTGGGTAAAAGCCTGGTTTACATGTAGGTTGAATGCTTCGATACCATACCCTACAATATTACAAAATTTAATTTTTATATTTTGGATTTAATGATAATAAAAGTAATTATGGTAATGTCAATTTTTTTTATTTCTCTGTCTAATCTCAATATTTATTAGTTTTGTAAGCCATCATTATATATTATACGCGGTGTTAAAATGTTTTATATAGTTTTTAGTCTGAATAAAATTGTATATTTTTTGTAATTAATTTGAATAAAAAATGTGCAATAACTATTTTCAAACAATACAGCGTAATTTTATTTAAAAGTCGCTACTTTTTTACAAAAAAATAAATACTAATTTATAGTCATTGAGTAGTTCTATTAAAATTATTATATTTTCGATTCTATATTCAAAATTTGATACGTTTGTTGAAAATAAGTATTAATTTATATTCATCAAGTATTTCTATTAGTTATTATAATTCTAAATTAAAGTCTTTCAATAAAACCAATGAATACTTCTATTGAAAGTCGTCACGAAATATTTCTGATGAAATCACTATTTTAAATCGAAACTAGTGGGGTGTATGGCATCGTGCCTTAAGGCAAATTGCTGGAACTTACCGTACCGTAACCAAATGTTCGAAGAATACTGAATGTTTTCAAATAGATTATTATTAATATTGTAACATTGTCTAATATTTATAAGAATTATATAAACTGAATTGCAAAGTTGAAATTAGTTGTTTAAAGTATATTAGAACTATAATCAGAATTAAAAATAAAATCTGAATTATTTTCGATATACAAAAAAATGTTTATTAAAAAAAAAAAAATTAAAAAAAAAATGAAAAAAAAAGTTGAAACAAATTTTTTTTCCAAAATCAATTATTTTGTTAAGACAAGCAGAAAATTCTTTGAATCATTTAAATCGAATGCTTAGTTCTCTCAAAAACTGCCATTTTATGCACATTTAGCGCCGTATCTTCGAAATGGCTGGGCCTGCCTTTGCCAAAAACTAATAAACACTTTTCCCAATCATTACTAATTGAATGTTTTTTAGATAATTCAAATCGGATGCTCCGTTCTCTCAAAGACTCGATTTCTATTTTCTGCACTCTTTGCTCTTTATCTCCGTAACTGCTAGTCCTGCCTTTGCCAAAAACTAATCCCTATCGATAGGAATCGAATGCTTTTTGAACCATTCAAATCGGCTGATCCGTGCGCTCGAAAATGTGACTGGAAATTTGTATCCATGCATACATATATATACAAACACACACATCCATTTTTTCTGAGATATGCCAAAATCAGAAACCTTCAGAACGTCGAAAAATGTAAAGATTTTCAATTTCGATTTTCCTTACCCTACGGGAAGATAATCATACTTTTGCAAATTCATAAAATAATATAATAATAATTCTTGTGAATGTATCATATGTACCATAAAAATACATTGTTACTCTATTTCTAAAGCGAACTATTATTGCTGTGCGCAATAAAGGGTAGTTAAAAGCTTCAATTGAAATTACGATTTTAGGTAAATCCGTAAATCCCCGGAATTTATATTGGATGGGTTGTCTAGTGTTTGTTTAAATTTATGATACGGGAAATGGGACAAAGACTGTAGAACATGGGTGTCAAACTCGCGGCCCGCAGCAGATATTTTTGCGGCTCATCTGCCCGCATATGTTGACAAGTGATAATATGCAATAAATAACAATTCGATGAGAAAAAAATAAAATATTCAACTGCTAAGTAATTAACAATTACTTTAAATAAATTAACAATAATTACAATTAATTAAATTAACAATAATTTATTGTTTAACAAATAGTTTATACAGCGTAAAGTTACTTAATATTCCGTAGTGTTAGATCTTATTGTCAGTAGCTTCTTCATCAGATGCTTATTTATATATTCGGTCGGCCAGTATTTACTGAATATTCCGTAATGATGCGTTTCAATGATTTAATTTTCGTCCCATTTAAATGATTCAAAGCACTTTCTGCTTGTTTTAACAAAATAATTGATTTGGGGGAAAAAAACAATTTTTTCTTCTAAATTTTTTTTTTCAACAATTTTTTTTTGTATATCGAAAATAGATCAGATTTTATTTTTAATTCTGACTAAAGTTCTAATATACATTAAACAAATAATTTCAACTTTGCAATTCAGTTTATGTAATTCTTATAAATATTAGACAATGTTACAATATTTATAATAATCTTTTGAAAATATTCAATATTCCTCGAACATTTCGTTACGGTACGGGGAGTTCCGTTTTAAAAATTTTGTTTTATAATTATACAATACAATGTATATATAATATATACAATATTAATGAGTGTTACTCTTTTTTTTGGCATTGTTATTAGACTCGAAATGTATGCTATTCCAATAGAAATATGCTTCTCTATTAAATTTGTTTTATTGTTGGATGTATTATTATTATTATATTATAGATATATTGATGTATTGGATGAATTAGTGTAGTCTTTGTTTCACTGGATGACGGTCTCGATGCAGATCGAAACGTATGGATTAATAAGCAAATTTCCTAACTGCTTTAGTTTTTTTTTATTTAGTGCTATTGCCCGAATCAACAGACTCATCACAAAAGATTTATCATTACCATATATATATATATATATATATATATATATATATATATATATATATATATATATATATATATATATATATATATGATATTCAGTTTTCAGGGCAATACATCAATTAAAAAATTTATATGACTTTAAAACATTTTTATTTTTTCCATACGTTTCGACACATAGTTTTGTGTCATCTTCTGTGGACTCTATTTTGAAGGTACAGATAAAATTATTAATTAAAACTAATATATAAGAAGTCATATGGTATGAACTTACATGTAATTGTAATAATCCTAATTATTTCCTAATTATAATTGTTCACAATGCACAATGAAACCAATTCTTGTCACTTTAAATGTAACAATAATAAATTTTTTGAATGAGTTATTTTATGAATCTGTAACAAATTATATATATATATATATATAGTTTTTTTGCGGCCCGCTTGAAGTTAAACCTTGCTTATGCGGCCCGATTGCACATTTGAGTTTGACATCCCTGCTGTAGAAGGTTTGTCAATAGAAAAAGCGCAGTATATTTTGTATTGAAAAATATTTAGAAATATTCTCTAGTTGGATCATTTTTAAGTCGTTAGTCAAGTATGCAACACAGTTCGTTGTTTTTCGCAGATTAGATAATTAATATAGTAAATTAAATAATTTTTAAAGAAATTATTTGATTTTGAAAAGTTTTAAAGGTGTAATACAGTTTCAATATTCCATAAACAAATAAAAACACTTGAAAAACAGTGCATTTTACGTTATAGTACACACTATAATCATTATATAAAAACAATATTTAAAAATAGACAAAGAAAATGAGTACTGACATGTGGAAGTATTTTGAAAAGAAGAGTAAGAATGAAGCGAAGTGCACCCTGTGCTTAGAAGTGTTAAAAACGTGTGGTAATACTACGAATTTATCGAAACATCTTAAAAGTCGCCATCCAAATGTTTTGCAAATCGCTAGTAGTTCTTCTAGTACATCAACATCAGTAACAGCTTTTTGCAGGTAATATTTTTATGTTATATGTTTATATATGCTTTTTACTGCTATAAATGTGAAATTTGTTATTTTTATCAAAAGCGTAATTGAACATGGTTATTTCAGTTTAGTATATCTAATTATAGGTTTATTTTGTCTTAGTGTTCAACATGTAATAATTAATAACTATTTTCATTGATATGTGTACAGGGTAATTGCGAGTAACACGCGCCATCTCATTTTCTTTCAATTTTTAACAAGAAATGTTTATAATACAATCAAAATATAAAAAATGTTTTAATACAAAATTTCAATATGCACGTGCGAAGAAAAGTAATACAATTTTTTAGTGCAATCTTTTCAGTTTTTACTAATATTAATAAATTGTAATATCTGACATCAAAATTAAGTTAATTCAAAAAAAATTAAAACCATTTATTGCAAATTATCAAGGTCCGCATTTCAACTACGAATTATTCAAAATTTCAATACCCAAGTATAAATAACAGGTTATACTAGATTTTAATGAAATTAATCTAGTTTTTACTGATGTATATAGAACAAAATGGCCAGAATAAAACTTCTAAAATATTCAAAGATTTTTTTTTCTCAAAATTCACACATTGCTATATATATATATATATATATATATATATATATATATATATATATGTATATAAACGTTCTAACAATTTTTATTTAAAGTTAATTATATATAGATTTTACTAAATTTCAGTAAATGTTATCTAGTAAATGTGATTATACTAATGTAAACAAATAAATTGTTCGGAAGAAAATTTTATGTTGTTTTAGAAGTATCCTAACAAATACTATAATACTAAAATAAACGGCTGAAAATTAAATGAATCAAAACAAAATACGAGTTAACTCTTTCCGATTAAGTAAATCGATTTTAAAGTTATTATTAACTTCCCGTAGGGCAAGTTATAGTAATCGCAAATAAATCGAAAATGAAAATTTTTGCATTTCTCGACGTTTCAAAGGTTTCTGAATATTTTGGCATAGAAAAAATGGATGTATGTGTGTGTGTATGTGCGTGTATGTATGTGTGTTCGGATACAAATTTTCGTCGACGATTTTGTGAACACGGTTCAACCGATTTGAATAATTCAAAAAATATTCGATTCGTATTAATAAGGAGATGTGCTGATTAGTTTTTGACGAAGGCAAGTCTAGCCGTTCCAAAGATACGGTGCAAAAAGTGCCGAAAACGGTAACTCAGTTTTTAAGAGAACGGAGTGTCCGATTTTATTAATTCAAAAAACATGACAAAGAACTTTTTTTCAAAGCAATCGTACTGTTTTAACTGCATAGAGACAAAATATAAAGCGCGTAAGCGCCGCGTCGCTTTCTAACGGACAAACATTGGTACGGAACCCATAGGAATGTAAACAAAATTTATACTTATTGTTAAAATCTCTATAAAATACCTGATAATTGGATGTGCATATGTCTAATGATCATTTTTGATCGCCAAATAGCATTTTTTTTACTTTTTTCGCTAGATCTCCGAAACCCCTAGACCTGCCCTCATGAAAATTTCATCAATTCTTCATCTTGTCAATACAAATAAAATGTTTTTTGAATTATTGAAATCGGACGCTCCCTTCTCTTAAAAACTGAGTTACGGTTTTCGGCACTTTTTGCCCCGTATCTTCGGAACGGCTAGACCTGCTTCGCCAAAAACTAATCAGCACGTCTCCTTATCAATACGAATCGAATGTTTTTTGAATTATTAAAATCGGTTGATCCGTGTTCCCGAAATCGTAGACGACACACATATACAGTTCAGAAAGTTTTGAAACGCAAAGATATATAAAAATTTTCATTTTCGATTTTTTTGCGATTACTATAACTTGCCCTACGGGAAGTTAAAAAGTTTAATTATGTATAAATTATATAATAATGATAAAATATTTCTCTAAACAACTTTTTTTATTGCTAATTCAAAATTATTGTTTTAGAAATGAAATACCAGCGAAAAGACAAAAGCGTTCGGAGGAAACTTTGAACCCGATTATGCGAGCATTTGAAGCGCGGGCTTCTATTCAACCCGGAGGCGATAGACATAATATGATAACCAATGCGGTTTTATATTATATTTGTGTGGACCATAAACCCATTAATGCAGTAAAAAGAAGAGATTTCATTAATCTTTTGAAAACAATTGAGAGTAGCTACCATTTACCATCAGATACTCATTTCAAAAACCTCTTGAGTACGAAATATAATTCAATGAAATATTTATTGAAGTCGGAACTTCAATTAAAAGATTTTTATAGTTTAACGTGCGATATATGGGCCGACGCATTAAACATGGTAAGCTATTTAGGTATTACAATCCATTATTTGAGCGGAGAAAAATTGAAATCAGCAAACCTAGAAACTATCAGCTTGCCAGAAAGACATACGGGGGATTATATAAAGGAAAAACTAACATCGGTAATCGGGGATTGGGAGTTAAATGTTAGTAAGATTACCGCAATTGTTACAGATAATGGTAGTAACATGGTCTGTGGAATCCGAAATTTTTTTATTGCATATAATTCATCTGATAAACATCAGTCGTGTTTTGCTCATGCTATAAATCTTATCGTCGATAAAGCAATTTCGGAGTCTGAAGTAGCAAATTTTATTAAAAAAATAAGAAATATTGTAAAATATTTTAAAAAAAGTGTTATGGCTACTGACAAGCTGAGAGAAGCGCAAATAGAAAGTGCAGGGGAACCACTCAAATTAATATTAGATGTTAAAACAAGGTGGAACTCCTGCTATTATATGTTGGAGAGATTTGTGAAATTGGCTCCATATGTCGCACAAGTAACCATAAGTGATTCCAATGCGCCGGACATATTGTCAGCTGCTGATATCAAAATAATTCGCGAGCTATCAAATATACTGCAGCCGCTAGAATATATTACTCGAGAATTGTCTGGAGAGCAGTATGTCACCATACCAAAAGTAATACCGTTAGTTAATTGTTTACTTGCACAACTCCGGTCAATCAAACCAAAAACACCCTTGTGCATCAAACTGAAACAAATTTTAATCGACACCGCGAACAGAAGGTTTTCGAATGTCGAAGATAACTCGGATATAGCTGTAGCAACATTGCTCGATCCGAGGTTTAAAAATCTTTATTTTAGAAATGAAAATGCTTGCGCAACTGCAATTGAAACATTGCGAAGTGAAATTTGTTTGCATACTTCAATATCAAGTGCAGTTTTAGAAACCGCCCCAAATAGTTTTGATTTTTGGCATCTACATAAGCAGATAGTGTCCGAAAGAAAGAAAAGAAACAATACACAAGATGAAGTAGATTTATATTTAAAACAACATGTGACTCCTCTAACTAGTAACCCTCTTACATCATGGGAGGACATGAAAGAAAGTTTTCCCAATTTATATTTGAAATTTAGAGAATATGCCACAATAATGGCTACATCAGTACCAGCTGAAAGATTGTTTTCGGAAGCTGGTACTGAAATTATTGAAAAGCGTAATAGGCAAGAACCTGATTATTTAAATAAGCTTCTGTTTTTAGCAGGACGATCTGAAGAAGACTGGTTTAATTAATCAATGTTTTTTTTTTTTTTTAATTCAAGCCATTTTTGAATGTTTGTTTATAAATGTTTTAGTTATATATACTACTCATTGAATTCATTTTATGTTTAATTTAATTTTTATGATAATGATATTCAATTTTTTGTATTTTCTATTTTTATTTAACTTGTATTTAATATTTGTTTTTTAGGATTACAGCCATATAAATAAATGATTTTCTTTGTTTATACTATTGGAAATTTATAGACTAATAATCGTCACTCTATCAATGTAAAGTAAAATGAAATTGATGAATTTACACAATGTAAATAATTATATTAATAAAATATTATATCTTACGCATTATCGCAATTCTTTTACTGCTATTTTTTACGTTTGTTGCAGAAGAAATATATTCATTACTATTTTTATTGTTATAATAATCAGTTAGACCATCATAAATGATTAGTTTCTTGGTTAAAAATAATACAAATTTGTACAATGCTCTTTGTAGAACAAAATATATGAAAATGATAAAACTATATAAATAATATACAGAAATTGACAATTATTTTCATAATATATGTTTACTACACATTAGCACGTTTCAAAATTGTAATATTATATAATTGTTGAGCGTTTTTCTTTTTGATATAAATTAGCAGATACTAAATTCATAAACGAATACTTTCGTCACAAAACGATACTATTTTTAAATTAATGAGTAATTTTCTTTTTGATATAAATTAGCCGATACTAAATTCATAAATCAATACTTTTGTCACAAAACAATACTATTTTTTAATTATTCAATATTTTTCTTTTTGATATAAATTTGTTCTTATAATAAATCATCAACAATAATCAACATTTCAATATCCCATTGTGAGTGGTCCTTAATATTAAGAGAATTATTGGGAAAATTGATTGTCATCTATACCCAATAATAATAGAATATTATATTTTCCGCGTAAATTTCTAAAAATGTTACCGTTTTTTAAGTTTTTATGTGTTTTATTGTTATAATTAAGTCTAACAATATATTGAGTTCTCTCAGACATTTAGGTGGTTTATATAACTTTGTCAAATATATTAATGTTACGCTTTTACTCAAAAAAAATAAATTAAAATTAATTTAAAAAAAATTTAAAGTAAAAAATGGAAATTGCACTCTATTAACATGGAACTACATTATTAATTTATAATATATAAATAAATATATATATACATATATATATAATATATATATATATATATATATATATAAGATTAAGATTAATTAAGATGGTCCTTAAAATGGTCATTTTCGAATTTCCTTGCTCCCAGGGGTTCAAATGGTTCCAAATTGATAAAAAACAATTCTCTGAAAGGTTCAGCTCTCAATATTGTCTTTTAGATAGAGCGCAATTCAATCAAAGTTTTGTATGGAAATAGCATAAAAAAATTTCAAAAATTTTGCAGAGCTTCGAATTTTCAATAAAAATTACACAAATTTTTACTTTTAATTCATTTGTCTTTTAGTTACACCTAAAAAAATTTTTTTTTAATTTTCAAAACTTTTTCCATGCTATTTCCATACGAAGTTTGATTGAATTGCGCTCCATCTAAAAGTTAATATTAAGAGCTAAAACTTTCAGAGAATTGTTTTTTATCAATTTGAGCCCTTGGCAGCAAGGAAATTCGAAAATGTCTATATTAAGGACCACCCTAATATATATATATATATATATATATATATATAAATATATGTATATATATATATATTTATATATATATATATATATGTATATATATATATAAATATATGTATATATATATACATATAAAAATATATGTATATATACATATATATATATATATATAAATATATATATATATATATATAAATATATGTATATATATACATATATATATATATATAGAATTTTATGATATGAGTGGAACGAATATTAATTGTTTAATATGAACAAAACAGCACTCAGATTTGTTTAACACAACTTTATTTTATGATTACAGACGTTTCGAGACCATGGTGTGTCTCATCTTCAGTGTAATTTCAAAAACAGTTACTTATATACTACACATTATTTAATAATTTATTTAAATTTCATTTAATTTTTGATCTACAAAAAACACCAACTATTCCTTGCAATGCTTGACATAGTACTAAAGAAACATATAACACTTACAGAAATATTCTAAACAAATTTGAAGTACTTATCTAGATGGAGACAGAATGGGTATCATTATAATGTAAACAAAAGGAGTGCTATCGCATACAAAAATCGATAAAAATGAAAAAACAAATTAATTTATTGAAAAGAATAAGATAAATGAAAAAATTTATAAATTATTAATGATGTTTATATAAGTGTCATGTAAAATATTTGTGTCGGTTCTTAGATTTATGCTATTGTTAGTCCGAACTATTAACATTAATTCTGCCATGCTCCGTTTAAATAAGTCTTTCTCATGGAATAAAATTTGGGGATTGTCAAAATCAAACTTATGGTTGTTGATATTAGCATGATCAACAAGTGTACTTTTAAATTTTTTGTTATCTATTTTTTCACATTGTAATTCATGTTGCCTGAGTCTCTTTTCTAAGTTCTGGCAGGTCTGGCCAATATAAGAGCAATTACACTCCAAACAATTTACTTTATAAACTATATCTTTCTTTTTTGTTAATGGAGTTTCATCTTTAATTTTGGAATATAAAAATTTTAATTGTTTTAATGGAGAAAAAGTAATACGAATATTGTGTTTTTTGAAAAGTCTTTTTGATAATTGGTTAAAATTATTGTCAAGATATGGAATATTAATGAAAAAAGTTTTTTCAGGAACACTTGTTTTGCCAGGCTCTTCTGGTTTCTTATCAAAAGGTTCAAGTAATTTTGCGACTCTATTTTTAATAATTGGACAAATTAACTTATATGGAAAATTATTGCCAAGTAGGATCGTTTTAACTAATTTTATGTTTGTATCATAAAACAGAGGATCAGATAATAAAATAGCGTGATCTACAAGATTTAGAATGGTAGAAATTTTTATATTGAGAGGAACATGCGAATTAAAATTAATGTATCTCCCGGACCAACTATCTTTGTTGAACAAATTCAATGAGTACAATTCTTTTTTACAATTCACTCAGGAACTTGAAAATGATTCGACGTTACATTTTCTTGACGTAAAACTCATTAATAGAGGCGGTGTATGTTATACAGACTGGTACAGAAAAGATAGTTGGTCCGGGAGATACATTAATTTTAATTCGCATGTTCCTCTCAATATAAAAATTTCTACCATTCTAAATCTTGTAGATCACGCTATTTTATTATCTGATCCTCTGTTTTATGATACAAACATAAAATTAGTTAAAACGATCCTACTTGGCAATAATTTTCCATATAAGTTAATTTGTCCAATTATTAAAAATAGAGTCGCAAAATTACTTGAACCTTTTGATAAGAAACCGGAAGAGCCTGGCAAAACAAGTGTTCCTGAAAAAACTTTTTTCATTAATATTCCATATCTTGACAATAATTTTAACCAATTATCAAAAAGACTTTTCAAAAAACACAATATTCGTATTACTTTTTCTCCATTAAAACAATTAAAATTTTTATATTCCAAAATTAAAGATGAAACTCCATTAACAAAAAAGAAAGATATAGTTTATAAAGTAAATTGTTTGGAGTGTAATTGCTCTTATATTGGCCAGACCTGCCAGAACTTAGAAAAGAGACTCAGGCAACATGAATTACAATGTGAAAAAATAGATAACAAAAAATTTAAAAGTACACTTGTTGATCATGCTAATATCAACAACCATAAGTTTGATTTTGACAATCCCCAAATTTTATTCCATGAGAAAGACTTATTTAAACGGAGCATGGCAGAATCAATGTTAATAGTTCGGACTAACAATAGCATAAATCTAAGAACCGACACAAATATTTTACATGACACTTATATAAACATCATTAATAATTTATAAATTTTTTCATTTATCTTATTCTTTTCAATAAATTAATTTGTTTTTTCATTTTTATCGATTTTTGTATGCGATAGCACTCCTTTTGTTTACATTATAATGATACCCATTCTGTCTCCAACTAGATAAGTACTTCAAATTTGTTTAGAATATTTCTGTAAGTGTTATATGTTTCTTTAGTACTGTGTCAAGCATTGCAAGGAATAGTTGGTGTTTTTTGTAGATCAAAAATTAAATGAAATTTAAATAAATTATTAAATAATGTGTAGTATATAAGTAACTGTTTTTGAAATTACACTGAAGATGAGACACACCATGGTCTCGAAACGTCTGTAATCATAAAGTAAAGTTGTGTTAAACAAATCTGAGTGCTGTTTTGTTCATATTAAACAATTAATATATATATATATATATATATATATATGTATATATATATATTCTAGCCTAAAAATATATTTTTGAAGCAACGTAAGAAGTTACAAAATGTACGAAACCCACTTCGTGACAATCTGGTGTCCTGGCACTACCGCAACATTCATCTCCCAGCGCCTGGCGTTCGACACAGTCGAAAAGCGTTTGTTCGTCACTCCGCCTACATGATGTTTTTAAGTCATCGTCTGAAGAACCAGTGCTGCAAGCATGACGACATAATGGGGCCCTAGCCAATTTGCAGCAGGACCTCCCAGACCAGTCTTCACCACGTGACATTGCTATAAAAACAATAATATGGATAAGTTTTTTTTTTCTTTAAATTTTATTTGAACAGCGATCAGAACTTATAGGTTCTATACTTATAGCTTTGTTTTTATTACACATGGCAACCCAAACAGTTGTCACATCTCTGTACAATAAATTTTTATTACAATCTCTAACAGGGCAAGTATGGTGCAACAATGCCGGCTGAGGGCTATTTTCACTTGGAAACATATTGCTATCTGTATTTCCAAGTGAAAATCGTTGTCAATGTTGCTTGACAACAGGCTGCTCAAAGTGGGTATCGAACCCGGGACCTCTAAAACAAGTCCCGTCGCTCTTAACCGCTTACCTACGGGCGAGCCCTAATATGGATAAGTGATTGAAAGCTGGTGTTTAAACCGCTCATAAGATAGTAGCACACTCAGTCATTTAAACCTGCATTTAAATCCCATGCAATTGCATTTAGCTCTAAAATTCATAAACTATTTTCATATCTTTAGAATGCTAATTTTCCACCAATAAAACAGAAACAAATAGCAAGCGGCATAGTTATAAATGTTTCTATCAAACTATGTTATTAATTTTCTAATAATTACAGAACGTTTACAATCCTTATTTGAAACCCTAAATATATTGAGTTGACCATGAGGTTATTCAAAATGTCATAGACGCATATTATGCAGATTCAAGGAATTTATATTGTGAACTTTTATAAATGAATTATATTATTAGTTTACAAACATTATGCCTAATACAAATTATTTTAATAATATCGATAACTTATCTACAAAAACCAAAATAAAAATGCAGTAGTTTTTCGATTTTTTTATATCAGGTTGAAGATGAAATGTTACATATTAACAGATATTTTGGAAAAAGTTCTATAATAGTAAAAAAATAACATGGTCTATTTCTCAGCAGATTGTAGTTATTTATTCTAGATGATGGGTATCTGAAATAAAAATATATCAGTTAATACAATTATTATCCGTGAATTATTACGATATATAATATTTAGTTCAAATCATGAAATTATGTATATTTAAAGTAAATTCAATTTGAAAAGAAAAACTATTCACTCAAATATATATTTTCACGCACTTGTAAAAATGAAGTATGCAATGTATAAGTTTTTTTTGTTAAATGAGTGGATTTTTTTAAATTTTTACCTTTAACGATCCAATAAAGAGAATTTTCTGAAGGTTCTGATTAGTTAGGTGATGCCGTTTCTATTCAAAAAAAGAGATACTAGCTGCACTATGACTGGATAAATCAATATAAATTTAAAAAAAAAGTTGTACGGGTACTATCCAGACCTGAAATAAAAATAAATCTGTTATTGCAATTATTTTCATCAAATTATTAATACAATTATAGCATAATCTGGATCATTGTCATTGTAAAGGTAAGTAAAAGCAAATAACTACCTATTTTTCTCGCAAAATAGGCTAAAATAAAACAACAACTTGGTAAAGTTTGTATATGTCTGAAGGACGAACCTAAACATAACACTTATAGTGCGGGCAAAACTTTTAAAAAATATCAACTAATTTTAGACAAATATTACTAAGTTTTATAATCGATAAAACTATTCACTCAAATATATATTGTCACGCACTTAGCATAGAAAATAGTAAATACACAAAATTATCAAAACAAATATTCTTTTTAAATGGGTGATTTTTTTTTTCATATTTACCTTTAACAATCCAAAGAAGAGAGTTTTCTAAAAGAATATTGTATGGTACCGTTTCAATTTTAAAAAAGAGGTACTAGCTGCACTATGATTGGATAAATCAATATAAATTTAAAAAAAAGTTGTACGGGTACTATACAGACCTGAAATGAAAATAAATCTGTTATTGCAATTATTTTCATCAAATTATTAATACGATTATAGCATAATCTGGATCATTGTCATTGTAAAGGTAAGTAAAAGCAAATAATTACCTATTTTTTCGTATATAAATAGGCTAAAATAAAACAACAACTTGGTAAAGTTTGTATATGTCTGAAGGACGAACTTTTTATTACATACTTAGTAATAACGTAACGTTTTATTACATACTTAGTAATTTTGATAAAGACTACATTAACTCAAAAATCAAAAAAGTGACGGCACTAAAGTATTTATTTATTTATTTTTTTAATTTTATTTGAACAGCGATCAGAACTTATGGGTTCTATGAGCTGTTGTGATTAATATCTTACAAACTACGTTTGTTTTATTACAGATGGCAACCCAAACAGTTGTCACATCTCTGTATGATAAATTTTTATTACAATAATTGTAATAGGGTAAGTATAGTGCAACAACGCCGGGTGAAGGCTATTTTCACTTGGAAACATATTGCTAAAGTATTTAAATAAAAAAATAAAAACGATGCACCAGAATCTTTCTATGAATCCATGCTTTTTGTATAATAATTAAATGATATAGAAACTAGTTTATATCAATACAAATCAAATGATTAGATTATATTAAGATTTAAAATTGATTCAGAATAATTATATATAGTTAAATGTAATACTAATACAGAATACTCACCTAAACGACGTTTATTTGTATGTGGAGTAATGTCGAGTGATGGTGCGGGTTACGGGGGCCACGAATGTTGTGGCTTCCTCCATACCGGTCTCGCACTCTGCATCGACTTCTTCAGGAATAGTATCCTCCTTATTAGATTTGTTAATAACTTTAGGAAGTATCTCTGGATTATGTGATCTGGTACTCCTCAGCAAAATCGCATTATCCTCCTGTGTTGCTGTGACATGGGCTCGTCTTACGCAAAACCATTTCCGCGCCTTGCGCACCAAATAACATATTAAAAATGTTGATAACAGTAGCACTGCATTTGCCGTAGTTAAATAATCTTGCCATACATTTTCAGAGACCGCGGGCTTTACGGTTTTTGGAGAGAGAAGGTACCACATGTTTAAATTAAAATAAACTAAAAAAATGTTTTGAATAAATTTTTGTTAGAATTTTGGACGGTGCTTTCAATTATTTAATTTTTGGCGAGTATACTAGATTAGAAAATTATAACAAAATTCAAACATCCGAATAGCCATGAAAATTTTGTAAAAAATAGTCGTATTATGTGACAAGTATGCTTATTTTTCGTAAATTGTATTAGAAATTATATTATATTTTTATTTTATCATTATTGTACTAATAATAACTATTATTATTATCTTCCCAAAGGAGAAGTTTATGTTTTCGCGAAAAAATCCGATTTGCTAATTTCATATTTTATCAACGTTTTAAGTAATTCTGAATCGAATGAGACCAATTTTGGATAAGTATGTGTGTGTAGGTGAAGCGATTTTTGACCTTTCGTCGACGTTTTCAAAAATTTAAAAGCCATTCAATAAAAGCTGATAAGCACTCGCGTTGTTTAATACGATCGGCTAAGTTATAGAATTAGCAGAAAAGCATTTTAGCCAAAAATCCTGAATTGATTTTAAAAATTAAAAAACTATTCGAAAGCATTTGGAAATCGTGCTGATTAGTTTTTGACAAAGATCGGCCAGGCCGTTTAATCGTCATTGATTTTTAAAAGAAAGTTCACCGATTTTAATGAATCTTTGTGTAGCGATAGAATTCCTGGTCAATTAATTACAAAATAAAATTAAAATATGAATTAATATGCCGCGTTTTTAGAAAATACAGTGAGTATGTGTTAGGCGCATCTTTGTTGTGTAACAAAAAAACTGGACAGAATTGAATAATGTCCATTTTTTCTGTTATTCACATTACGATGCCCTACATCAACTTGGTACACTCATAAATTTGTATACTGATTTCTTAATAATTAAGCAGATTATTTAAACATGTCGGGAAGTTCATGCAACTTGTGGTGATATATGTATATGATATATAACCCACTTACAACTAATTGTTATTACTATATTAATTATTTGTTTATGCAATATTATTATTTATTTATTCATTTTTATATTATAATTATTTTAATTTAGTAATTAATTAATTAATTTATTTTTTTATTCTTCCTTTGCTTGATTTTCAATATCCTCGCTTTTAACTTTTGTAGTCTATAGATTATAATTTGATTGTTTATAACAAGAAGAAATAAATAAAAAAAGTAATTGCTAAATATAATTTTTAATTTACTGAAACGAAATGAACTTTGTAAATACCTGCATTACAAAAGGTTCAAAAATTACATCATATGAGCCGATTCTGCCGCACAACATATCAATGTTATGGCAAGGCCATGTTACGCTCCAACTTCCATACATTAAGCTACTGAATCATACTGAATAAGTAAATACTGTCAATATGTCATGTATTTGCTGTGCATTCAGGCGTTTTACACATAAAGTGCAACGTCACTTGTATGTTATAAACCTGAGTCAGAAAGACCCTGTTATCTAAGATCATTTTTTGACATTTCTGCGGTTTCTAGATCAGGTTTTCTATCTTACAACCTGTGGAAAACGCCTGACTACACAGCAACCACATGGCTTTTGACAAGATTTAGAGCAAATTAGTATGGAAAGTTCTTCATAACAAAGCCTTGCCATAACATTGGTCTGTTATGCGGCAGAATCGGTCCATAAAAGTCGCACTTGTAAGTTTACTAAATAATGTTTTAAACGCCTATAAAATATACTAAAATTTAATAGGTAGACTTCAGATAACTTCATATTATAAAGTCATGTGTATTTTTTTTTTTTTGAAAACTGTTAACAGTTTTTTTACATTATTTTTATTCATTACTATTATTTATAAAAAAAATAGTTTGGTACAATCATTAAAATTTGCAAAATTATTCATATATATATAAATGAAGAGTCATTTTTAATAAATTAACTTCGTTGAATATGTAAAATATTTAAAAAAATAATTTATTAAAAAAAACTGTTTATTCACATATGTATTTTTAAGCACGTCAGATTGTAGCACATAATCTAGTATGCAAAAAAAAAACAATTGGACTCATATTTGTAAAAATCAAAATCTTTCCAAAATCATGTGGTTCGCCTTTAC